CCACGACTCGGCACATCCCGCTCCCCTGACGTTACTCTACCGTACCGTACCGTACTGCACTCTGCTCTACGCTCTATGCTACGTGGCATGTGTCGATAAGATGAGTAAGAGTAATACATCGCACCCCGTACTCCTACACAGCCAAGCACGATTAGGCTCTTCGTCTATGCGGAACCCCCATGCTCATTTCGGCGTGGTCCGTAGCGCATAGACCGTGAGCCACGGCAGCATCAGGGGGTTGTCGTAGCATGTGGATCATGTGGTAATATGGCTGCGTGGGGTGCCGCGGAAGGGGGGGGTGGATGATCCTTCGCATGTACAGAAGGGAGGGGTGGACAGCAAAAGTCTGAGGATACTTTGATGATTAGGGATCAAGACCAAGAAAAACAGTAAAGTAGACTACTACGATCAGTATTGTAGTAGAATGGGGGGGGGGGGGGGGGGGGAACGCCTCGCCGTTTCAAGTTGGACACCTACGTCCGTAGGAAACGGTTACAGAAACTATCCGCCCCGAACCACGGATCGTCGGTCACTTGAAGATGCAGGGTTGGGGTCCGCTGGGGTTTCTCTCGGTAAAGGCAGCTCGTCATATTTTCGACTGAACAAGCTTCGGTTGTAAGGCTGGGTATGTCGGTCGTGTATCGCTCGTATGTTCCTCCCAGTCTGCCTTACGGATATATTAACTGCAGCTCAATACTCTCTGACAACAGACTAAGCCTCCCGCTCTTCCTTGGAAATACGAAAAAGCCCTGGAGTTCTGTCTCCCATGGGCATCAACCGTCGCACGCGAATATGCTCGTACGCGAGTTACGTCCGGCGCCCAACCGAAGTAGATGCCTGTAGGATGCACCATAAACGGTGTACTTTGCAGACATACTCTCATGCGTACTGCTAACACCCACCCCTCTTTTACAAGACTCAGCTTCGGACCTGGATGTGGCTCCATCGTTAACTCCGTGCCCCGCAATGCCGTTGCCGTTGCACTTGACTGCATACCTCTGGGTATATATAGCATATACCGGAGGATGCAGTATGCTGAAGGATGAAGCTCAACTCTCAGGACGGAGATGGGGCCGTCGATCATGTCCGATACCCACCAACCATTGGATGTAGCTTTGGGCGGGGGAGAGGGGGGGGGGGGGGGGGGGGGGGGGGGGGGGGGGGGCAGAATCCGGCGAGACCGAATCCCGCTGTCCAAGAGAAACAAGAGAGGGCACATGGAGCCAAGTGCTGATCATGTATCAAATGGCTACCCTAGTTGACGCTAAAGAAGAAGAGAAAGAATACAGCAATCGTGAGGCGCCATCCTGATGCGGAAGAGTCTTATCATACATACGTATCCCACCTGAAGAAACACCTACCGCAAACGCCCCTCGCGCAGCGGGTTGGGCAGCAGAGGCATCCTGACATCGGGGCTCAGGGCCCGGGGCACACACCCACCAGGTCGTCTGGTGAGGTCCAACCCGCTGGGGCTGGTCGAGTCGCTAGCAGGGCCCTTTTCGTTGGACACGAGGCCCTTCTCCTGTACGAAGGCGCTGGAGCGGGTGTGGTAGGGGTCGCGCTCGTAGTACTTGTCCACGATGGGGTGCATCATGACGGTCTGACGGTGGATGGTGAGGATCGAGTTTGTCGGGACGTTGACCCAGTTTTCTGCCCCGTATTGTTTTCCTGTCAGTCACCGGCAGACCAGGCTGCCGACCAGATAGAAGCAGTAAGAGTGGTCAGTACTCACCCCTCTCAAACGTCAAGGGCTCGCTAGCAACGAGGACGATGTCGGCTCCCTTGTCTTTGCGCTCCATCTGATACTGCCTGTCGGTGGGCGACGACGTCATGGTGGACCACTGCGTACCGGAAGAGTAGTACAGGCTGGCGGCCTCGTCCTTGGAGCTGCTGATGTAGCGCGTGCAGATGACGCTGTGACCGTCGGTGACGGCGAAGTTGAGCAGGCTGCGGGTGTCGACGTCCTCGGACTGCAGGATGCTCTCGGGGATGCTGTCGGTGAGCTCGTTGATCTGGGCAATCGTCTGCTCGAGGGCCCTGCGCAGGACGGCGTGGCCGAAGCCCTGCGCGGGGCTGGAGCTCGGGTCCTGGCCTAGACGCTCCAGAGTGTCGAGGAAGAGGGCAAACGCCCACTCGCTGTCGGTCCCGCCCTGGACGCTGAGGTACCACTTGTCGGCCAGCTTGTCGCCGAGCCTGCGCTTGATGTGCTTCCACCCGCCCAGGCCGCCGTTGTGCATCCACATCAGCGTGCCGTGGGTGAACGGGTGGCAGTTGTCCTCGCTGATCGAACCCTCCGTGGTGGCGCGCACGTGGGCGAAGATGAGGTGAGACGCCGTCTTGGAGGCGATGCGGTGGAGGTTGGTGCAGTTCCAGGCCGGGATCGTCGAGGTGAACAGGCAGGGGCAGTCACCCAGCTTGCGGTCGGTGTAGAATCCTATCCCGAATCCGTCCGCATTGTTCTGGCCTCGTCGTGTGTCCTGCGCGTTGCGAGAGAGAACGTCAGCTCGGTTCGTCTTTGGGGAGTGAGGCAGAGGTGAGAGGCGGTGATGGGATTTACAAGCCGGAGACGAGAGTCGAATGACTGCTTAAGAATCGAGTGCGTCGGGTCGAGAATCAGCTTGGACAGCAGAATCTCATCGCTGCCCTTGTATACCTGGATGGATGTACGTCGTCGCTGTTCAGCCATGCATCAAACTTTGGACAATGAGGAGCAAGCTTGCTTACCAGGAACCTGCACATGATGAGGATGCTGCCGATGGTCAGTGGGTATATTCGTTTCTCCACGAGGTGTGTCGGCTGAATATTGGGAATATGCTGAAGCTGGAGGAACCGTCGTGCTATAAATACGGAGGACGCTTGAGTGCCATACCGCCATTGCCAATGTTGGTGACGTGATTCTGCTGGAGATCGTGCCGGATGACTCATTCTCGTTTTTTGCTCTAGGGTAAGTGAAACTCTTGGGTGTCTGGCCTCGTATTCGTACTTTATGAGTGTTCATGTTTATGAAAATGTCTTGGTTTTATATGTATTGGTCACGATGAATGCAATAGAGTACCACTGATTGATTGATTGTCCTATAAGTATAGGGTTCTTTGTTGGCTTGCCTATAACCGAAGCCTCTTGTCGGCATGCCCTCATAACCCGGCATGATACATTGGACTTGCAACTGCAATCCCTTCACTTGCGAAGCTTCAAATTGAACGTTTCCATAACGTCTGCATGTACACACTGTGACATTCCGGAGACAGTGTACTTCAGACCAGATATGCATCATCCCCTCTACTGCTGCTCTGATTTCGAGCACCTAGTGAGATCCTCCCAGACTCCGTTCTCTTCGGAAACACGAAGCTGCGGACCCGAGGCAGTCAGGTCTCGTCACCGACACTGAGCGTGGCCGTGTCAAGGTAATTATGCCATCGCATCTACATCACGGACTGATAATACATCAGTAATGGCGGGAGAGAAAGAGATTAATTGCTGGATATAATACAGATGACATGTCCTGCCGTTTGAGAACCGGCCAATACACACATCCACCTAGACAGCACAGTCAACGCCAACGTCAGTACATACAACTTACAGCCTTCTACGAACAGCATTGTATATGTAGGCCGTGTAAAAAGAAAAGAAAACGGACACGGGCCTTCACCGACTAATCTTGTTTCGTCCACGGCTGATTAGCTGATACCAGCCTTGATCTCTCAACCATGCAAGCTTCGTTCTGGCCTATAGCTGCATATCCGCCTTGATGTAACTGGTCCTCTACGCAGTCCTCCCGGATCACAATGCCCTATCTGTTGGTCATCACATTTCGATATATGACCAACGAGAGACGAGTTTGCCTCAGTCTCATCCGTACCGAATCAGAAGACTCGTACATGTATTTCGTAGCCCTGACATCGATCCCCCCCATTGTAAACCCTTGGAAGCCGCCCGACCGACCGACTCACAGCCCACACTATAACAAAACCTCTACCGAATTTCACCCATGTACTTGCCATTCTGCTGGCAAAAAAACACAGCCTCATCTACACCGGTTGGCCTCTATCCCCTCGCCTGTAGCGAACCGTTTTGAAGCTGGCTGGCAGTTCCAAATGATGACCCTGCAGCGGAGGAAGAGAGACGGCCGTCCATCATGGCCTGCGACACGGCTTGCGAGGCGAACCAATCCGACATTCTCGATGACGAAGCCTTTATTCTCCAGCTTCAGATAGAGGAGATTCAGATAGAGGAGATTGAAGCCTAACGCTCATGTCAAACAGGAAAATAGACCGCCGACAAGATCCCGGACTACATCCTGGCATTCGATGCTTTTGAAGCCGAGCTACAGAGGGCAATTGCTATATCGGAAGACCACAGGCTGGCTCATAACATTGCCAGGGCTGTCGACTCGGATGCCGCTGCCATTGAGGAGGCAGTGAGCGAAGAGATGCAGTCCGCTCAAGATCGAGAGATTTCCCGCGAGTTATACCACACCCCGATGCCTGTCCAGGTGCCCAACCCCCCCGGGGAACGACGCCAAGGTAGTGTTGCCTCTTGCTATATCTGCCGGACGAAGACATGCGTATCCTGTAAGAGATTGGCACACCCGGGAACGTGCCCAGATGGCGAAGACAGGGCCAGTCTTCTAAACGTCGCAACCGAGAAGGGTTGGCAGCCGTGCTATGGATGCGGCGAGATGGTCTCGCGAGAAGGAGGCTGCGACCATATGACGTTCGTTATTCCATCGTCTCTCCGTTACCCAACCTGGCAAGAAGCCAATTCAACTTGTGGGTGCAAATGCGGCGCTCAGTTCTGTTACAGGTGTGGCACACGATGGAAATTATGCTCCTGCAGTGACTGGTCCGTGGCCACTTGGGAGTGGTGGGCTGTCAGGAAACGAATCTGCTGGGTAGAAAGGGGTAGTGAGATGCCTGACATGGTCTGCTGGGTAGTGACGAGGTAGAGGTGTTATATGTCAGTCCTTTGCCCCTGACACTTCGTGATACCTGTTGAGGAGGACGCAACATGTCCGATTACTCACGGCCATCAGGAGCACTCTCGCTCCCATCACCTTAGCTCCTCAGTTCTGCAAGGCCTACTGCAAAGGGTTAGCTGTACGATGACTCGCTGGGATGTCACTCCATACGGGCCATGCTACGCCCGAGTCTACATCTACATATACCTTCATTTCGGTCGACCACTTAATCACTAAGTTGACAGACCGACAGTGGTAAGAGTCCCATAAAAACTTGACTCATACGCTTCTAAGCTCTCCCATGGCGATATTTATCCAGAGAACATACCTATCAACGCCAATAGCCACATTTCTGGCCTTATCGAATAGCAGAGAGGTCTTAAACGGCGGTCCGATGCAGGGAGCCGCAATAGATATATTGACCCTCAGATACCGGTGCATGGCAACTCTTGTCGTTTACGTAGATTTGAACAATCTGCTTTCTTCCAATCTGGGCTCTACTGAACATCGTCAATGCAATGTATATGTAATGCATTATCCCGGGGGGCTCCGTCTCACTGGAGGAGACTGTTGCTAAGATGACTCACGAGGCTACGCCGGTATATAATAGAGAATATAGTACCTGCTACAATTCTCTTCCCTATATGCGAGAAATTGCAGGTCTAGGGTTGTACACACGAAGCTGTGTACTATGTAACGTATGGCGACAGAGTTCGAATGGCTGAACCGAACCCAGGAACGAGTTGAGGTTCCTCTAATCGGATGCAGCAGCTGATGGCCGTCCAGGTGTGCTAGAATCGTCCATCATCCAGCTTCACGGCCCGGGAGTACCGGCAGATGCCCCAGCATCTGTGAACGACACGGGACATGTCGACCCAGCCATAAAGAGCGCCTACGTACGTGTCAGCACGGCCATGATCTCGTACCCCTTCAGGTTTCATGGAAGAGGACCCAGCCCGGATGAACACTTCCTACTAGACTTCCTCTGAGGCGGAGCAGTGCATGCGAGTATACACCAAAGGCAGCTGCCCCGTATCATTCCAATGTGATAAGCCGCTGCTCATACATGTATCGTATATCCAGTAGGAATTGCGGAGCCGCAACCCCGCGTTTTCCAGCGACGCTCCCACGTTCTTAGCTGGCGCCACAATATGGACGGCATACACCTGTTGCGTCACCCCGTAGGACTTCGATCACGATATACTCTCTGCCTTCCTTCACCGACGTCGGGTTGCACCCATATAGGATGAGACTGGGGACTACGTTGGGGGTGAGACTCGAGGGAGCTTTTCTTTTGCCACGCATGCCGGCTCCATGATAGGTCTCCGCAATGGCACCCATTGAGCGTCATGACACGACTGTCAGCCAGCCGACTTGGACAAGATCTCCTCAACTCTTCGAGCCAAGTCCCCGCAGACAAAAGCCGTGGAGCTTCGGAGGCAAAGAAGATAAAATAAAAATAAAAACAGGCGTGCATTGATGGATCATCAACATCTATAGTATATCTGTTATACGCCCGTTGCCCCCCGCGCCAGACCCCCTGCAGCATCAAAAAAAGTTGGGGCGGGAGCGGGGCCTAGAAATCCACACCCGCTCTCCACATTGAACAGAACAGTAAGCCGCCCTCTATAGAATTCTGACATGTTATTCGTCGCTGTCTGTTTGGCCAAGCAGAGAGGGTGGGTGACGTGAGAAGGACATCATATCTCCACCGACGTCTGGGGAAGTGGGGCACGGGAGGGACCCGCATCTAACTCTCTTCCCCGCGTTTCTGGGGTATCTATTCCGGGGTGCATATGCATCTGGTCAATAGACGAGACGACATGGCAATTGCAACCCTCCAGCCTCTTCGACTTTCCGAACAAGAACCTTGAAACATGCCAAAAATTCCCCGAACCCCCGAGGTGGTGTGCCTCGTCTGATTGCCAAGAGAGGGATGGTATTGTCTTTTTTTTTTTTTTTGCTTCCTCTTCCTCTCATTTTTTCCCGCTCCCAATTTCTCTATATATCCGCCTACTCGCCCGTCTGATATCAAGTGATATGCGAATCAAGTCCAATTCTTTCCCGGAGAACGAGTGTTAGACGGGGAAAGAAAAAGAGCAGAATGTGTATAGCTGAGGTGATGGCTGCCACGTTCAGAAAGCCATAGTCTTTGACACTATCGTCAAATGTGCCATCCAAAACGGCACTTTCTTCGCCCCCCCCTCCCGTTTTTCGCCCGCCCCGTGAGGGGTCATGTAACGCCGGTGCACCCGGTTATGAGAGGTATGAGAGAAGAACGATAGACAGGATTGATCATGTGCTTGACCTATTCAGGTTACAAGTCCATCATTTCGACTTTGAACCAATGGACTGTTAGCCTATGGTATCACGAGGGGGTGGTCGATGGACAGCCTAGGCTTCATCTGCACATGCAGGGCAATGTATTTCCAGCGTTTTATGCGTACGTAGTAGGATACCACGCATGTCTCTTGGGATCCAGGAGGGGGAGGGGAGGGGGGGGGGGGGGGGGGGGGGGGGGGGGGGGGGGGGGTCGTATGCACAGTTGGGAAAAGGTGGAGAGTCTAAAACGTCTCCTCTTCTCCTGAGAAAGGAGTAGATGTTATCCAGGAGAAGTATATATTACAGGCCTGCTTTTCCCCCGTCTCGACACCAGCCTCTCTGTTTCGTTCCGTACCTATAACTCCCCGAACACGCATCGTTTTCAGTAATCAAATACATACGTCCTTGTCTGACCAAACACCGGCATCATGAGCGGATCTCTACCAGAGGAATTTGATATAATCGTGTGCGGTGGTGGAAGTGCGGGCTGTGTCGTGGCCGGACGGTACTTCAACCCCCTTATCCACACCTTGCATAACTCGGATTCGGCAATGGGCGTTGCTGACACGTTGCTAGTCTCGCCAACTTGGACCACAATCTCTCCGTCCTCCTCATCGAGGGAGGCGAGAACAACCTCAACAACCCATGGGTATTCCGTCCGGGGATCTACCCCCGCAACATGAAGCTTGACTCAAAGACAGCTAGCTTCTATGAGTCCAAGCCTTCTAAGTGGCTTGGTGGCCGAAAGGCCATCGTGCCCTGTGCCAATGTACTCGGTGGAGGGTCTTCCATCAACTTTATGGTAAGAAAGCACACCTCCACATCCTCTTCACGGGGTGCCGCCGAGGCCCTGACACGGTTATAGATGTACACTCGTGCCTCCGCTTCGGACTACGATGACTTCCAGGCCAAGGGCTGGACGACAAAGGAGCTTCTCCCCTTGATGAGGAAGCATGAGACATACCAGCGTCCGTCGCACAACCCGTGAGTCTCATGAGCCCATGATCATTCTGATCCTGCCACGTCCTCTAACAGACATCAGGGAGCTTCACGGCTTTGAGGGCCCCATCAAGGTGTCGTTTGGAAACTAGTAAGCACACGCACATGCCCGCAGGAAACGCCCGAGCGCACCATGACTTACACCATGTAGCACGTACCCCATCAAGGAGGACTTCCTCCGCGCTGCCGAGACCCAGGGTATCCCCACGGTCGACGACCTCCAGGACCTCAGCACCGGTCATGGGGCTGAGCACTGGCTCAAGTGGATCAACCGAGACGTGAGCCTTTACACTCTTCTTTTTTTTTTTTTTTTACTGTGGTAGGAATTTGCCCGTGCTGACTTGTAGATAAGACTGGCCGCCGCAGCGACAGCGCCCACGCCTACATCCACGCCACGCGAGCCAAGTACTCCAACCTGTATCTTTCTTGCAACACCAAGGTTGACAAGGTCATCATCGAAAATGGTCGTGCTGTGGCCGTGCGCACCGTGTAAGTCTTCCTCAAGTTCAGCCTCGCGGCTAGCTGAACCTGAGCTAACGTCCGTCTTTCTTCTAGCCCCATGAAGCCTCTTGACCCCAAGAATATCAAGCCTCGCACGTTCAAGGCCCGAAAGCAGATTGTCGTTTCGGGCGGAACTCTGTCTTCGCCCCTCATTCTCCAGCGCTCTGGAGTTGGTAAGTGGCCCCTTGGATCGCGGCGTTAGCCTATCGGTGAGTGATATGATACTGACCTTGTGTTGGAAGGTGACCCCGAGAAGCTCCGCAAGGCTGGCGTCAAGCCCATCGTTGACCTTCCCGGTGTTGGTCTCAACTTCCAGGACCACTACCTGACATTTTCCGTCTTCCGGGCCAAGCCTGAGACGGAGAGCTTCGACGACTTTGCCCGCGGTGATCCCGAGACCCAGAAGGGTAAGTGTCGTCCATACCTTTTTTTCGCCCTCTTCCCTGCCCTGCATGGAGGATAATGGTAGCTGACGGTTGATTTACATGTACAGCCGTCTTCCAACAGTGGAATACTGACGGCACTGGCCCTCTGGCGACCAACGGTATCGACGCCGGTGTCAAGATCCGGCCTACTCCCGAAGAACTCCGGGAGTTTGAGAAGTGGCCGACGCCCCACTTCAGGGACGGCTGGAAGTCGTACTTCGAGAACAAGCCCGACAAGCCCGTGATGCACTACTCTGTCATCTCTGGCTGGTTTGGCGACCACATGCTCATGTACGTTTGCGCATACCTTTTACATCATCCCATCAATGCGTGTCTGCTGACATGATAGCACAGGCCCCCCGGCAAGTTCTTCACCATGTTCCACTTCCTCGAGTATCCCTTCTCGCGCGGGTCTACGCACATCACCTCTGCGGACCCGTACAAGAATCCCGACTTTGACGCCGGGTTCATGAACGACGAGCGCGACATGGTCCCCATGGTGTGGGGCTACATCAAGTCTCGCGAAACCGCCCGGCGCATGGACGCCTACGCCGGCGAGGTCGCCAACATGCACCCCTTCTTCCGCTACGACTCCCCCGCCAAGGCTCGCGACCTAGACCTGGCCACCACTAACAAGTACGCACTGGCTGGCAACACCACGGCCGGCATCCAGCATGGCAGCTGGACGCAGCCCATCGAGGAGGCCGAGAACAAGTGCGACAAGTCCTCGACGGTCACCAGCAGTCGTGTGGACACGCGTGAGGAGCTGAAATACTCCAACGACGATATCAAGGCCGTCGAGGAGTGGGTCAAGCGTCACGTCGAGACCACCTGGCACTCGCTTGGCACTTGCTCCATGGCGCCCAAGGAGGGCAACAGCATCGTCAAGCACGGTGTTCTCGACGAGCGCCTCAACGTCCACGGTGTCAAGGGACTCAAGGTTGCCGATCTTAGCATCTGCCCTGACAATGTGGGCTGCAACACGTGAGTGAACACCGCAAGCTTTCTCTCCCAATTCATCCTTCGCTGACAATCTATCAAGATACTCCACGGCTCTGCTCATCGGAGAGAAGGCTGCTGTCCTTGTTGGCGAGGACCTCGGCTACACGGGTGAGGCTCTGGAAATGAAGGTTCCTACATACCATGCCCCCGGAGAGTTCACCCTCTCGCATCGTCTCTGAGTCTGGGGTGCTTGATTTCATGAGCGCGCCATCTTGTATCGTTTGCTTTCTTTCTTTTTTCTTGTGCCGGTGATCGAGTGCAGTGTTTTTGCGCGTGCGTGCGTGTATACAGTGTTTCGAAGTCATATCTGCGTATGTACAGTGCTAGTTGAGGGAAATCAGAATGACAAATGACCGATTGATGCTCATGTGCCTGCCTCGGTTGGTGATCATCTGCTGGTTGTAGGTGGAAGGTCAGAGTTGAAAGTTGGCCACGTCAAACTGCGACTGCAAAAGGCAACAAGGCACGTGGCTGTACGTATCAGTGGCTTGGTATCACAACGTGGCTGAGAAACAGGCCTGCTTCCTCTCCATCAGGCGCCCAACGCTCTGAACATCAATGACATTACAGGCCGCTTATTTATCGGCCAGGGAGATGGGACAGAAGGCGCGCCATTGGCACCAGGTGGGTTCTATAATTACACCACCGTATGGCGATTAGATGCGCTATAGCGGTTCTCCTAGCGTTCCATCGACCGCTGAAGGGTGAGTCGTACAGCTCCATCCTTGGGAAAAGTCTCATTTCCTTTTTTGGCGCGCCAGAACGCGCGACTGGAGCGAGAATCCATTTACACGTCTACGACGCCCTCAAACCGCGTCTTGCTCGTCTCCCCCACAACCGACATGCATCGTTTCCCAGCCATTTGCTCCGCTCCACCAGATTTCCCGTACTCGTATTCCTTTTCTATCTCCGTCATGTCCACCTTTAGCTGAACATTTGCTTCATCTTCCATTTCTTTTCGTATCCCCTCTATTCTACTCATTATTGCTTGTTTGCTGTTTGATATGCTACATCGCAAGCAATAGACATGGATAGTGGTAGCAACACCACTCCCACGGCGGATCGCCATGGCCGTCCCTCCGAGCCACTCCTGCCCTCGTCCTCGCCAGTCCAGCATGGTCTCCTCTCTCCGACCAGGTCAACGAGCCGGAGAAAGGAGAGACGTCCCCCCTCAGTGACGCCCAAGCGCTTCGGTCGATTCTTCACCCCTCGCTCCTCGCAGTCCATTGTCGGTCGCCGTATTCTAGCCCGTATCCCGTCCGAGGAACTCAACGCCCATCATGCCATGTCTCCCGACTCCATACCTAGCGATCCCCTGCAGCCGAGCGATGGTTGTCACCAGGACCAGAGCTTCCTCAGCAGCCCTAGTCAGGCTGCCACTTGCAGGAAGAGGACAACGTCTTCTCTCGAGCAGCCTACCATCCAACGTCGCCGGGTCGCCTTTGACGATATGCCGCCGCCCCAGCTGAACCTCTCCGGGGAACACAGTCAGGATGTGCTCTCGGATTGGAGGAAGACAACCCTTGTATGGTATCCCACATGCCTTGCCACTTGACTCCATGTCCACTCACATTTGTATAAAAGAATCGTTTCTTTCGCACAAGCCGTGGCCAGGATGTCTCCGCCAAGGACAGCTTGATCCCCGATGCGGTCCACGAACCTGCTGCCAAGAGGACACGAACACAGGTACATCCCGGCTGCTTCAGCACCTATACCACTAAAACAGCAATGATAACAGATCACCAGTCCCCAGAACTTCACACTCCCACGCCTGTCCGGAAGTTTAGAAATCGCGGCTGCGAAGCCCAGCTCCTCGACCGGGAACATGGCTTCTCCTCCCACACAGGCCGCCAGTACATGGCTTTCCCAGCCTGCGACGCCCGCGCCCTCACGGGTAACTTCTACAGCAACTCTGATGACCATGAGTACGCCGCCAATTACGAGGGACCCGGCAACACCACGCCCTTCTGCCAAGCCAACCTTCACAAGTCCCCCATTACAGCCGTGGGCGACGAACAGGGATATGTGCGCCTCCTGCGGACAGACGGGTGGACCAACAGCTCATCAGGCAAGATGGACTCATTCTTCAAGGCGCACGACAATGCCGTCATCGACATGGACGTGTCATCCGACGATATGAGGCTTGCCACTGCCTGCGGCGACTGGTCCGGCCGCATCTTCGACACGACCACCCAGAGCGCCGCCGTCGACCTCCGTGGCCACACGTCAGGTATGAGGCAGGTGCTCTTCCAACCAGGGCGTGCCAATGGCGAAGTGCTCGCCACGGCCGCCAAGGACGGGTGCGTCAACATCTGGGATCTACGCTGCAACTCGCTTCCTGTCAACGCCTTCTCGACCATGTGCGACGACGACAGCACCAAGGCGATAACGCGTAGGAACACGGATCTCGAAACGCTGCAGCTCAGACCCATCAACTCCATGGACCTCGCGCACGTCCGCACAGCAAACGGTCTGCACACGCCGGCATCCATCACGACGCTGCAATGGTTTCCCGCCGGGCGCGAGCACCTCCTCGTCTCGGGATCCGAAGCCAACGCGGCCATCAAGCTTTGGGACATTCGCTGCATCAAGCCCCGACACAAGGACCAGGCGACCCCACTATCCGTCACGGCAGAGCCGCAGCACCACACCTTCCGCTCCTACGGTCTGACCTCGCTGGCCATCAACGCCGACGGCTCGCGCCTATACTCAGTATGCAAGGACAACACGGTGTACGCCTACTCGACAGCCCACCTCATTCTTGGCCAGGCCCCCGAGCTGGTCAACAGCGCCGTGAAGCGCAAGCCCCGTGGCCTCCAGGGTATCGGTCCCCTATACGGCTGGAAGAATGATCGTCTCAGCGCGATTTCCTTCTGGGTCAAGGCCTCTCTGCGCGCCGCCTCTGCTTCTTGGGGCCCCGAACTGCTCGCCGTGGGTGGCAACGACAAGTGCCCGATTGTGTTCCCCACTGACGAGCGGTACATGCGCTCCGCGTTTGATCAGAGGAACCACATTCTCGAAACCTCGTCGGCAAATTCCTCAGCTGCAACGGGGGCAGCAAGGTCCACGCTGCCATCCCTCAACCCTTCTGCAGCCAATATCCCCATCTTCAGGTGCGGGACTGCCCTCGTCAACGGCCACGATAAGGAGGTGTCTGCTGTCGGGTGGACGAACCAAGGCCGTCTCGTCTCCCTCTCTGATGATGGAGGCGTGCGGCACTGGCAGGATGACGACACGCAGAGGGCCGGTTATCTGAGGCAGGTCGGCGATTTTGGCGGCGAGAGGTGGAATGCTGGATGGGCGGATGTAAGTGACGGCTGGGACGACGAGGAGTGACGCTGGTCACTTGGTTGCACTGCTTCCTTTTCTTGGCGTCTGTTTTGATGGCGTGTGTAATGATATTGGTTTTGAACCTTTTGGTCCTAGCATACATGCATGCTTAACGAGCAAGCAGTATTGGGCCCAGGCATCATGAACGGCGTTGGATGGAAAACATTTGTTATCATCTGTCCTACGACCTTTCCAGCAACGATTAATGAATTCAATGGCGATAACCTCCCTACGTGTTTGTATCCCGTCGCAAGGAACGCCGTGAACGAAATTTAAAGACCGCTTTGAGGACTTCCCCAAGACTTCCCATGAATGCTGAATTCAACGTAGCCAGAAAGAAGAAGAAACAGCGCCCTACTACATGACAAGCTATCAGTAACTCCGTAAATGCCGACCTCATCTAGTACATCCACGTGAACAAGTCATAGTCCCGGGCCGGTTCCCTGTTCTGGACAGTAAGAAAGATGCAATGGATCAAGGCAGCCAGGACTACCAGAAGTCCAACCGAAACTGCCCATGCCGTCTCACGATGTTGAGGGGGGTGATGGCTGGCGGCCATGAAGGGACATTGCCCCGTTGCCAGTTCGGTATCCTCATTCATGGGCTCTCCGTGCTTACAGTCACGCACGGGCTCTCTACGGCTGTCCTCAGTCAGCTTGTGGAGGCTGGGGACGCGCCACTTGAGTTCGCACACGAGGCCATCCATCCCGTCAAAGATGGCGACGGCCCCGTCGACGATATCGTCCCTTTGGGCGGTCGTGAGTCGGGGTTCCCACTGGCCGAACAGCCTGACCCTGAAGGTCGGCCTTCAGGTCATCTTCCGTATGCCCGGCGGTGGCTGGGAAGAAGTGGAAGAAGCGCAGCGGCGGGACTTCGGCGAGGTTGCTGCGGCCCGGCCAGAACCCCGACACGTCACCCCTCTCGGTGATCATGCGCCGGATGTACCTGCCGCCGGCGAAGGGGGCCATGTACAAGATGTACACGTACGCGACGAGGACGTGTGGCTTCTCGCGGGTGGAGAGGCGCATGCGGTCCAGCACGGCGGCGAGCTGGCCGCCGCTCTGGCTCGCGAAATCGAGCCTGTCGTCCAGATCATGGTCAGAACAGCCCGTCATGACCTTGATGTCGTCCATGATGGACAACAGTTCCTGGATTGTGAGCGAACAGGAGAAGAAGTAGAAAAAGGAGGGCAAGGCCCCAATACAATCAAGAACTAACTTCAGCTCAGGTTATATTACAGCCTTCATCTTTTAAAGTCGAGGCTCTTTTGTAGTTTTTGTTTCCTCATGTTTTTCCAGCAGTCCTCCATCAGACATTTAGCATCTATAAACCATGATGCACGTCCCGCGGCAGCAGGGCTGAGTCAGTAAGGGTATGAAAAGAGACCATGTGTCTGGGACGTGATGCTTCTTGCTAATTATAATCTTCTAATCTTCTCCTCTCATAACCTGTTCTTTCTAGTGAACAGGATACCGAAACGCTTGGGAGGGAATCTGAGGCTGTTGCTTTTTGCTTTTACCGCCAACCGATTGCTGATTTATTCTTGGCGCCCCATCCATCGACCTAGAACCACGATTCAGGTTGATGCACGAGTGTGTGCCCTTATGAAGCCGTTGCAAAACAAGAAAATAAGGACTGATACGCTGAATCTTGGAATGCCGGGTCTTTGATCCGGGTGTCATTCCAGATCTGTAAAAATGTCGAATTCTACTTTTGAAAGTATGTTCGGTATGTCTGGTCTTTGAGTGTTGATGGATAGTCGCTTGGATAGTAGCTCAGAGACTTAACTTTGCAACCTCTGTCGTTCCGTCGTGTCTAGTATTCCAGAGGACTCGTGATGCTTCTTCTCGTGGCTTTCGTTGCTGACAAAGACAAACGACACAAGCACAATAGCCGCTCCAACCCAGTAGACGAAGCTCGAGTACTGGTTATACTGAATCATCTCGCCGACGAGAGAAAGTGGGATAGTCAGGGACAAGCCGACCGTCACGACCAGAGGCGTGGTGAGCAGCATAGAATACGCCCAAGCATAGTCGCTCACGAATGAAGAGACGGAGCTGGCCTGTTTCCGTGTAAGTGATTTCTCGCCAAAAGACCGCAGACATGTCAACTTGAAGACTTACGACGATAACAGTCCAAACCTTGGTGGTAGGCGGCAGTCCCATCTGCAGACCGAGTCAGCTATACTACTTCTTCCCATTCTCGCGTCCAGTGGGACAAGGTACTGACCGTTTCAATGCCCGTCCAGTCTAGGATGAAGAACAAGGGCCACAGAAGCACTAGGTTGAAGAAGCCTACGAGCCCAAAGAAGAGCTGCATATCGACGCTGTCCTCGTTCCCCACGCGCAGCTTCATGACGGTCACGTACAGGCCGTATATGAGGGCACTGAAGAGGGCCATGGCATCTCCAAGGGCCACCTGGAGCGTAGTTTTTTCGGGGAACGTGCCCCTCTGGTCATCGCTGTTGCCCGTTAGGTCGACGGTGGACACGAGCACGATGCCCGCCAGGGACGCCACAACGCCCACGAGACGACGCATAGAGAAGGGCTCGACGCCGAGGATGGCACAGAATACCAGCGTCGACACGCTGCTCGTCGACGTCAAGATCGTCACACTTGCAACGCTCGTGTACTCGAGGCACGCCGACGCAAAATAATTCGCTAGAGACCACAGCATGCAGAACTCGAGGCTCAGCTTCGCCGTCTCGCCAAAGCTAAGCTTGTCCTCGTTCTGCTCCCCAGCCACGGCTGCTTCATCTGACGCCGGTGGTCCCAGAAGTCCGTTGCCATGCACGAGCAAGGCTTCGGCCGACTCGGTGTCATGCTCGTCCATGCGATGGCATGTCCTGTTGCTGCTGGTCGCGCCGCCCAGTGTACCCTGCCTCCAGTCGCACCACAGCTGCCGCACGTCACACCGTAGGCCATGGACCCCTCCCCGCGACATGTACCGGATGAAACGAGGCACTAAACTGACCGCAAACACAGCTGTGTTGATGTAGACGAGAAAAAAGGGCTTATCGTAGGTTTGGTCGGAGAAGATGAGCTGTACCGCCCAGCCTGATTAGCCGTGCGCACACAACACACAACACACAACATGCACACGCACACGCACACGCACACGCACACGCACATCGACACACACATGCACAGGCACTGGCAAACTCACACTAGAAAGAAAATTGGAGATAGTCCATAGGAAAACAGTCACGAGCAAAAGCACAATGCCCAGCGCCCTCCTCCCGAGTCCACGCAGGCCCAGCCGAACCCGCAGGCCGTGTGCTGCCAGCGAGAGCAATCGTGACTGCAGGGGCGTCTGTGCTGGCACCGCATCGTCGGGGAACCGTCGCTCTGAATCCATTTCGCCACATACGATGTTGTCATGAGTCGTCGGGGCCAGATGTACGGAGCAAGACGGAGCGTTGCTATTGCGCGGTGATTTCAGCCCTAAGCCTGGCACGTTCCACCGGCCGTGGGGTTGGTAATGGCGCGCGGCGCAGGATTCAGGTTCGCATGAGGCTCCTCTTCACTTGGCTGATGGGTTTCTAAAGGCGTATCTGTAGCAGATGGCGAAATAGGGGATTCCGGCGAGCTTCCATCTATCCGCCCTGTCAAGGAGACGAAAGAAAATTTGTGGCTGCGGCGTCAAGATAGAGTCAAAGGATCATGGCGCTGGTCTCAGTGTCACAGTGTCCGCATTCATGTCAAATGACGACAGCGGCTCGGGATTTTCAGCAGGGTCGACGTATAGCTGGGCATCAGGGACCAGGCACAAGGCAAAAGGGTTCGGGGGTTCCTGCCAGATCTAGCGCTTGGTGGGTTATTGCTGGTACAGTTATCGTCGCACTGTAGCTAACCCATATATGCATATATTCGTCAGCATAAGTACTCCGTACATGCGCATATCTAAAGCCATGCATACTTGCATATCAGACAGAAGACATTACAGCCTGATGGCCTCTCCCTCCGGTTCTGCATGCGACCCTGATGGTAGTCATACGACGTCTAACAATCAATATCAAACGTCCTGCCTTGCACCACGGCATCTTTCCTGGCGGCTTGTTCGGCCGGAAATGCCTATCAAACTACACGTCCACTCTCCATAAAGCTGTCAAATCCCAAGCCTTAACGGCGGTTCCATGTCAGGCAAGGCGCGAATGGCGTCACCACTCGGTATCACAATACAGAGTAAGTGCGTGTGTCGCAGTCCTAGAGCCCGAAAATTAATGCCCTAGGCACCTGTTTTCGGCCCCCTAGAGCACCGTCGCGTGTACCGGCTAGGGTCATATTCATATACCTTCCTAAGTCTACCAACGCCACGCCCACGGCGGCTACGCAGCCAACATAGCAAGAAACGGGTTCTAGTAAAACGAGGACTAGGATAAAGGGATAAATACGCGCTTATAGGCCGCTATAGATTCTTCACGGAAACTTTAGAGCGGCAGCTTGCAGTACGCATATAACAACACATTAAATAGACTCTAACACGGCGATACTAGGTTTTAGGCTTACTAAATATTAGTAGCGGCTTTAAGAACTAGAGACGCCCGGGCCTAAGCCGCCTACGCGGAATGAGTTACGACAGTTATAGCAACTAGGAAATGACCGGCGGCCTATTAGGCCTAGGAACTTAGAGGGCCATAAAATCAACGTTATGCGTCTTAAGAAACGTTAGCGTAAGTACTGCCTCGAAGTAGGAGAAGATAACTAGAAGGCTCTTCTAAGGTCACTCTCGTACGACAACCGAGGGATTGCCGACTCCTTTACGACGTATTTAGTCTGTATCTCCTATCTCCGCTTAGGACGATATATTAGCACTAAGAGTACCCTCCGCAATTATTTACGGACATTAAGTAGTCTTTTTAAGAAGTATACCGGACACTCTATAGATGCGACGCTTAGTGAACACTTTAGGAACTTCTCTATGTCCCACTACGGCCCTAAATTTAGGTTAACGAGAGAGCCTAAGAAAAAGGCCACTATAGGGCCCGATTTATTCGTCTATTAATAGCATTTTCTCTAGGCTAGAGATATATCGCGGTTCTATATTAGACTTAACCGACTTAATGACTCTACTATTCGACTTATATAAATATTCTCTAGCTACTAAAGGCACGAACTAGTATATAATAAGCCCTAAAACGCTAGTGCCTTAATGTAGGCATTTAATAGGGAATCTAACGCCTACACGGATAGAAACGACCAACTTGACTATCTGGTCGCCACGCCCTCCTAAGAGTGCTAGACCTACGGGGGCGTCGACGAGCGAACGAAGGCACGCGAGTTATAGGTACTCTACTAGGAGGACATCACCCTTTAGATCATCTGGAACCCATATGGCTATAGTGGGCGAGATCGTCTTGCTATATAGATTCTTCTTCGTTAGCATAAAGGTCATAATAAAAAGGTGGTTCCTATATAGTACCTTTTTATTAAGGAGAACGTGCTAGCGCTATGCCCTATCTCTTGTATCTTAGCTAAGGCCCTAGCCGAAGGTATCGTCGACTCGGAAGGCTATATAGAAAGTGTAGAGCCTTTTTTCCGCACTAGTCTAAGCAGGAAGGCCGTGCGGATTCGATAGAAGTAGGAGTGGAATCACCGGCCAGTCTTTCGCCAGACGTTAAACGCTCTAGGCGAGAAGTGCAATTCGCCGCTCACGATAAATTCCTTTAATAACCACTCTAATAGGCTTAGGATCGCTATAGGTCTTCCGGAGAAGCTTTCTAATTATGCCTATCGCCGCGGCTATATAGAGATAGTTAACGGTAAGTCTTAACTCCGCCTTCGAGCCTTGCCTTAACCCTAGCTAACTTTACCTATAGAAAACTATTAGATCTCGGTGCGAGACTAAGGAATGCGTCACAAGAGAGGCACTAACGTCTACTAGGACCATTACTACAATTCTATAATAAATACTATAGTGTAGGACGCTTTTCTTAGCCGTGGGATAAAGTCGCCCTATCTCGCAATTCTTAACCATATAGGCCTACAAAGCGATAAAGATACACTAAAGACTATACCTCCTAAGATTATAGATATAGTCGGCCTAGATAGCCTCGTCTAGAATCTCTAACGTGAATTGGCCGGTATAGAGTCAGCACTCCGCGAAAAGTATAGACGTCCGAGTCACGCTCTGGCTATCGAATACTGGAAGTATATAGACGTGTAAGGGCAACTTAGGACAGCACGCTAAAAGTAGCGGAGGAAAGTATTCAAGATGCTTTATTAAGACCATTTTAATACTAAGGACGAGGAAGAGCTTTAGAAGCAGCTTCGATAAATCTACGAGCCTACAATACCGAAGGAGATCTAACACAGCTCGCCGGAGCGAAATCACATTACTTAAGTTATAGGCGATATAGATAATGACCTACTAGAGAAAGACGTTATAGCACGGAAGATCGAGGCTATAAACTTACTAGTCTCTTACGCCTTTATATATAAGCCGCGCGAGCCGACCGCCCGATCGTCGTGTAGCATTTCGCTAATAGAGAAACCACATTCTAGAAACCAACTAATCGTGCCCCCTTAAAAGGATCTTCCACCTTTTAGTGTCTAGATTGCTCCCGCGCCCCTATGCGCACATTCGTCCCGGGAATATATACTATAGGAATCGCTAAGGACGCCCCCACCTCTATATCATAAGGTTATAGGTCGTCTCATATCGGCGAGAGGCCGACCTATACCCTATATCTTTTGCGGCAAGACCTACACACGTATAGGTATCTTATAGAACTATCTTAAGGAACATCTACGGACCTTTAAGGGAGGGCTAGTGCGATGCCTAAAATGCCTAGAAAAGCTAGACAATTCTATAGCCTTTAAAGCACACGCCGCTCGAGAACACGGGAGCACATTTAGGTCTATTAAGATTGTGCTATTAAAGAGCCCTAATAAAAGACGTCCCCCGCCGCTAAATAAAGGCCATCACTTTTAAAGAAGGATTACAATAGTTAGGTCTAGGTCTAGAGTCTCTAATAATGCGGCTTAAAGAATATAATTTAGGGGTATAGGATAGAATACTTATTTTTTGCCTCCTGTCATTTTATCTTATAATTATATATTTATTCCTAGTATTTACTTTATAAAGAATATACAATTATACTTAACATTTGCGTTTAAATTTTACGCATAAAGGTTACGGTGATCTCGTTAAACGCTAGGCTTAGGATAAGATCTATAGTCGCGGCCTAAGGAATAGAGAGATAGAGGTAAGAAGGTAAAGGAATTAGATTATACGTAGATAGAAAGAAGGAATAAGAAAGCACCCTAAGATACCTCACTTGCCTATATAGCAGCCCTTAAGGCTATACGACTAGTGAGGTCCTATCGTGATTACAATAAAAGCAAATTTAGATAAGTAAGTCATTTTATATCTATACATTAGTGACAGTATCTATCTATCGTCTAGCCGTAGTCCCGCCGTGCCTTATATTACCTCGCGACTATTCTTAGCTCCTCGAGAAGTCCTATAGTCCGTGGCAGACGGGCAAAGGGTAGGTATTTATCTACCGTAGTTAGTAATATAACTAGTTAGAATAAATAAGGCGAATGCTTACCATTTCTTCGAGTGAAGGTTGCTAAGTTCTATCTAACTTATAGATATAATGGCGATTATTAACTTCAATAATAGTGAAGACTCTAGCGTTAAAGTCCTTATAATAGCTATTAAGCTTATATAGAAGCGTCTATCGGCGCCTTCTACACTTAGCGAAGTATACTTTATTTTTCCTATATCTCGACAACTTTTATAGGTCTATCTTAGGATACCGGCTATACGATAAGAAGTTCTAGGTAAAAAATTCATTAATGGGTATTTTATATATCTATCCCTAGGCATAGGGCCGAAGCTTTCCGGGTTGCGGGAAGTTATAGATAAAATAACGAACGTAAAAAAAAGGCAAAAAACGGGAAACTAACGGGTGCGTTAAGCGATCGCAAAATACACACCGCAATGCCTATAGGTCGAACCTCGTTATCTAAAAGCTAATTAGGGGCATTCCGTTCAACTCTATAACCGGTCGTGAGAGGTACTAAACTATATTCTTTAATAAAGCTTGCTACTCGTTTTAGGCAATAGGTGCCTTTAGTGTTTATATAGAATCATTTAGATAAGCCTCCCTATCGTTAGTAGGCACTGCGCATTAAGTATATCACCCGACCTATAGTCCTGCTCCTATCGATATAGGCCCACCGCATACGCTTTCTAGGGTACGGTCGCCTTTATTATCTTCTACTGCCGAAACGCCCTAGTAACTAGATTTAATGCGTGCTATCGGTGTTAGGAACTTCCACGGTCTCTCGGGAGCTATATACGGTTAGTACCTAACACGGCTAAGGACATCTCCGCACTTAGGCAGC